CCGTTCCCTCCTCCTTCTTCCTCAACTCTACTCCCTCTTCTTGCCTGCTTCCAGGATTTCTAATCTTTGACTAGCAGTCCAGATTTGATCCTGTTTGATAACCTGTAATGTTCTGAACTGCAATTTCTTGGTAATGTAATTGATACCTGTGGTTAAGCAAACCCTGGAAGGATTGCAGTACAGTGTACAAAAGAATGGGAGGAGAGGCAGAATGTGCACACACAAGAAAAACTTGATTGCTATGTCAGAACCAGGTCACAGTGCTGTGGCAACAAAAGCTTGCAACACTTAATTTTTTGTCAGTTCAATGACAGTTCGTTCAGATGAGTGAAAGATTGTTGGAATTGCAATTTGGATCTTTTTCACCTTTGGAGTTGTGATTCTTCCTGGAATTGCTTATTAATTCCCCACTTGGTGGTGGATTCAGCTAGCTATGACATTCCCCAACATTTTTCCCCTGTTGTGATACTGGTAATGTTGTTACTTTCCTTCTGTTACCTTAAGGATGGGTCTTTTAAAATTCATATTGTATATTGTTAGCAGAAAATCTTGTAGAGCAAAATGAGAGCTAATAAGTAACAGAGGTTAAGAGAAGGTTCTCATCTCTGTCACTTGCTCCAAAAATGGTCTTGGAGCAAGAATATTAATGACCTACCTTACAGAACAGTTCTAAGGTTTAGTGGGTTGTGTAGGTGAAGCACTTGGAGTGCTCTGAGGCACGATAATATAACTATATTATCCACAGTACTACTATTAGGCTACTAGGTATAAGTCACAGGGCATTTGCTGCATTTTATATTAAAATAATATGTAAATCTAAAGCAAAATATTAAGTGAAATGATAGGCTTTTGGCACAACATAGTAACTCACTGTCTGGTCGTACATGTGTTGGCACAGGTATGCTTCATCCACATAAGTTATGTGTACCTTTATCTGGCTGGATTCCTCCTCATCATCAGCAGCAATATTAACATATTTCCTCTTGCAAGGAACTCAAGGCAGGTTACAAGGTTCTGCTCCTCTCCATATTATCCTCATAATGACAATCCCATGAGGGAGATTGGACTGGGAGTCTGTGACTGACCCAAAGTTACCTAGCAAGCTACATGGCTGAGTAGAGAATAGATCCTGGAGTTCCTGAATCCCAGTCCAACACTCTAACCACTGGCTCTCTTTAGTTTTACAAGGATCAATTATCCTTGACTTCCACTGTGTTTTCCTGTGTGCATTACCTGCTTATTTCAATGTATTTTATCATGTTGTAAGCCGCCCCGAGGTTTCGGCAAGGGGCGGCATAGAAATGTTATAATAATAATAATAATAATAATAATAATAATAATAATAATATTTCTCGAACCTGCAATATGGTTGATTTCACCTACACAGAAAGTTGCTGGAAGGTTAAATAACTTTCAGTCTGCTGGGAAAGCGTTGGAAGGCCACAGATATTGCAAAAGGATACTGATTAGATTTTTGCTGCCAATAAACCTGTTTCTTAATACTGTTAGCAGACACAGCTTGACTGCCCCCTCTCCTTTGCAGGCTAATATCTGGGTCTCCCTGGTGGTTCCTGACTTGCAAAGAAGGAAAAGGACCTTAAAGGTTTAGCGGTAAGTTTCAGAAAGCAGTGGGAAAAATCTTCCACCACATTTTTCTGGAGTACTGGCTATTTTGGATGCAGGATATCAATACAGCATTTTTTAGGGACATGTGCCGGTGCTTTAACAATTACACTGTCTGCACCAATATAAACCTACAAGCTGGATTTACATCACACAGCTTCCAAACTGCATGTACCTGCAATACTTCCTTTCACTGGATGGAAACTAGAGGAGATATCGTGGCCATTGGTCATGTTGGTTAATGTCCATTCTGCCCCACGCAGGGAATTCTTGATAAAGAAGGCGTATCTTCCCATGTCATATTTTAAAATATTGCTCAGTTCCCCCCTTGAATAAAGCATGACAATTATTATTTTTATATTGCACAATTCAATTTTATAATTCTTCCAAATTATTATTATTATTATTATTATTAATATTATAACATTTCTATGCCGCCCCTTGCCAAAACTTCAGGGCGGCTCACAACACAATAAAATACATTGAAATACAATAGAACATAATAAATTACCATTAAATACAAAAATACAAAAAATACACTGAGTCACAAATATAAAATTAAAATTATCAGTATAAAATAAGTAAATAAAAATATAGGAGGAGAAAAGAGAAGGAAGAAGAAGTTGCCCTGGCCAGATCATATGTTTTAACAATTAAAATGATGTTTAAATAAAAAGGTCTTTACCTGGCACCGAATGTGCAAGCTTTTAAAAAATGTACTCTGGTTCACATTCAGGATTGCAAACAACACAAGTTCAGATGAACTGTGAACTGAAGCTAAATTCTTTTCCATCCTGACTTAAAATTGCATGCCAAAAGAGCAGTCTTTTAGTGCTCCCTACAGGTAACTGGGAGTAATGCTGCTAAGCAATTTAAAACCTAGAGATGCCATTTCAGCTTAGAAACACATCACAGAATCTTACTAGTTTATGTGTGAAGTAGCTAACCTGAATTAATACAAGTTATTTAGTTAGCTAATTATTAAAGTGTGTTTAACTCACTTTTTGTTTTAGGATATAGACTGGTAATCAGATTAGAGAACATTATAAAATCATGGTAATTCAAACTAGGATTTTGATATTGGTTTCCAAAAATGAATCCTGTGAGCTTTTCTGAATCCCTGGGTCTGATCTTCTGAGCAGAGGTACATAGGACTGCACAACTAATGCTTCATGTGCGTGTTTCAACAGGTATCCCATGGCTGAGTTGATTTCGACAGATATCTCCAATATTGTCAGAAATGTAGCCCTTCTGGCAGTATTGGGGATCACCATATCCTTTGAACTTGCATATCTTGTGCATTCTGAATTGTGTCCCACAGTGTGCAGGTAAATAGAATACATCTTTTGAAAATTTCACAAAGTCATACACTCATGGAAATTGGCACTAAATTAGAAAGCATTCTGAAGTGGCTGATTAAGTCATGCAAGGAAGTTGCTTGTAGACCAACAATACAATTCTACCAGGTGTTGACTCAGGGTCGACCACTTATGCAACCCATAAGTTCCAGTTTGTTTTTGTTTACTTAATGTTTGGACCACAATAAAACTGTTTTGTACCTTTACAGTGTTGAGTATTTTGTATACATCAAGGGGTAACAATACCAATGAAATCCATTTCAGTTTCCGGTTGTAGCACAAGACAATATGGAAAAGTCAAAGGTGAGTATTTTTGCAAGGTGCTGTGCATGACTTCCCGGAGGTGACTTCCCCAGGTACATGTACATGGAGTCAAAGCCTTCACAATGCATAAAGGCACCATCCAATGTGGAGACTCATAACCCTTTGAACTTGAAGAATTAGAAATATCCAATGGCAGGTGGAAAGAGCATAGAAGGTTGGATTGCTGCCACACTCCCCGTGACCTCTACATCGTTCCCCTCTTTTTGTAAGGAGGAGAGGTTGAGGACCTCCGGAAGGATACAATTGGAGGATACCAATGTCTTACCCCTCCCTGCCCTCTATAATGCCCCCCATGCTAGTACCAAAGATGGTCTTCAGAACTCAACCAGGTATCTAGAACAACTAGAGGATATTTGGACCCTCTTCTGGGCAAAACCCAGGGGGTACCTGCTGCCTGCCAGGTTTTGAAATCTCCAAAACAGTATGTTCCCAGTGGGGAAGAAAGCTGCAATGAGCCTGGAACGGCTTGTGGCAGAAACAGGAATCAAGGGAAATGACTCGCTCCTCCTGCGCCGTCCTGTGAGATGCTGGCAGGAGGGCTGAGCAGGGAGCAGGAACTATGATGAGTGCAGTGTTGGTTGTTCACACAAAGACCAAACCACCTTGGCTTATTGCCAGGTTTGGTCTCCATTACATGTGAACATGGCCTAAGAGTCAAATGGCACTAGGATAACTGCATTCAATATGCACTAAATGTAATATTTTGTATAGAATAATTTTATTTCACTTATATTTAATCCAATTCAATAACTTTGAACACCCTAGACTGCCTATTTAAGTTCTGGCTGATTTACACTAATTCTCTCTCTCTCTCTCTCTCTCACACACACACACACACACACACACACACACACACAATGTACCCCTATTCCCTGTACCACTGTTTTCTCATTGTGATCATGATTGGACACCACTGCATCCTGATAGAAGTAGCTGAAGACGGTGTGTTTTTCCAGAATAGAAGAAACTGCTCCTGTAATCCAGTTTACAGTAGAATTTTTCTTATCACTGAAGGCAAATGTGACCAACAATCCATTCTGGGACTGAAAGAAAAACACCACTAGTACCTCACAGCCACGGTGCAGGACACTCATCACCTGGATGAAACCCAAGATTTTGGAGTGAAGGAAGGTTAGATTGAAATGCCTTGAAATTAGGATATAATTCTAGTGGATCAGGATATGTGAACCCAACAACTTTAACAATGATTTATTAGCTATACCTCTCCTTCGCATGGTTAAGAATCATAGAATAGTAGCATTGGAAGGGGCCAAGGCCACTGGGTCCAACCCCATGCTGTTGCAGGACACCAAGTTACTCCATCCCACTCAGATGGCTGTCCAGTTTCTTCCTGCCTTCGTGTGGGCCAAGCTATGGGCCATGACCTGGGAGATCTCTTGTAATTTTAAAGGGTTAACAGCAACCATGGGGATGGGTGGGATTCAGAACAGAAGAATGGCACTGGGAGAAGGAGAGCTAACTGCCCTCCCAGAGTGTTAGTCCACTTAACATCAGAATATAAGAATGTAAGAGCATAAGAAAAGCCACCTGGATCCGTCCAGTGGTCTATCCAGTCCAGCACTCTCTTCACATGGTGGCAAACCAGCTGCCCATGGGATCCCTCAAGCAGGATGGGTACAAGACTTTGGTAAATAATAAAAATTTACTAAAAAAAAAAGAAAGCAAGACAATCTGTTTAGGTTACATGTGCATGATTTTATTTTACATTCATGTTAATCAAACATAATATTGCACTCTGGATCCCTTTCATGTGCTTGTTTGTGCATCTTGCCTTCATCAAAAGATCACTCGTTTTCCCTCATCGTTCTTTCAATCCATGGAATAAACCTGGAAACTCGAACATAAACCCCTGGTTTCATGGCCTCGGCACAGCCAAGACCCCAAGAGGTGACGCCATGAACAATATATTTCCCTTGTTCTTCACAAACCAGAGGGCCTCCACTGTCACCCTGAGAAACAGAAGTGAACAAAAGAATATAAGGGGATTAAGATAACCATAAGAAAGGCAAATTTCAACAATCTCTACACAGGTCTCACTAGCTGAATTTTATCACCTGACAATTTGTTCTGGCAGATTATCAGAAACAGGTCTTGCTGAAGGCCAAATTATACATGTCACATCCATCTGTGTACCTACCTGCAGGGTTTATTTAAAAAATGCAAATACATTCATGGGGATGAGCAGGGTGCTAATTAAAGTTATCTGAACAAGCATGGGGTGGGATTTAGCCTATTCCTCCACTGCCGCCATCCCGAAGAAATTCCTTCTCTAAACACAATATCCACATTTGGAGGAAATTCCCAATTGGTGTTACTAACATGCCAGATGCCAGTTATTTCATGTAGGAAACCAAACATGCCTTCATTGATCTCTCTTACCTGACAACTATCGGTGCCACCATCAATATTACCGGCACAGAGTTCAGTGGTTCTGACTCTGCCACCCAGAAAATCAGGCCGATTACACACTTTATTTTCAATTACAGGGAAGCCAGTCTCTTTCAGTAATCCCTCTCCACCAGTTCCTTTGTAAGGAAAGAAGAAAAATGTATATGCGATGAACAACTTCTGATCAATATAAACTTTGAGTTCCAGAAAGTGAATTTTCTTGTTTTATCCTCTTTTGTTCCTCTTGTTTTATCTTTTATATAAAGTTTTTTAATGACATGGGACTCTGCAAATATATTCTATATGACCATCCTGTGAGATTATATATGCCATGCTTGGCACTAATGACTTTAGATGTATTGGTAAAGAAGTGCCATGTATGGTGCAGAGCAAGGAGGTTTCTTTAACAGCACAACAGAAACTCATCCTTTTGGACAGAAGCCACCATCAGCTACTCACATGGAACTGCTGGCTTGACATCTGTCCCCAGGAAGTAAACTGGGGGTCCCGCTGCGTGGCTTTGCACACAGTCAAGGTTACACGGTTAATGCAGATCAGGTCTCAGTGTGGTCTGTACCTGAATGAGAAACTAGCATAGCTTTGGCAGCAACTGTTCTTCCTGTTGACCTCCAGAGGGCCAGCACAACCTGCCCTCCTTTATTAGGGAGATCTGAAAGCGCCCACACTGCGATCCACAGCCACACAGAGCAGACAGGTACAAGACAGACACACAGCATAGCGTAGATTGCCAGAACCGGGGCATCCGTTGTAAGCATTTTGGTAAACAAGCTGCACCCTGAGGATGAACTCACACAGCAGTCTTCTTTTCCTGGAAAACCTGAATTCATGCAGCCACTTTATTGCGGCAGTCCATTTATGAAGAGATTCTCAGAAAGGCAAACATGTACTGAGATTTCTAGCAGACTCAAGTCTGGCAAACAGGGACACATGAGCAATATGATGGAGGGGCAAATCTGACATATTTTCTTGAATAAGTCCAATAGATTCTGTCCTGCCATTTCTGTGCTGGTGCCAACTTGATCAGCAAGCTGAGCCAGTACTAAGCTTCTCTTTTTAAAGTGGGCCATGATTTGGGTAATGCATTTTAAAAGCTGGGGAAGTTTGTCCCAAATGCAGCTTCTATTCCACAATTTGCTCAAATTTTTGCAAATTGCAGAATGGAGACCTGAATTTTGTACAAATATGAAAATACCTGGCAGAAAGCTCAAGGTGGCGAGGGTGCAGTGTGCCAGGGTGCCGTATGTGTCAAGGTGCAGAGAATGGATGCTGCTTCCACATTTCTCATACTAAATGCTCCAGCAAGAGCAAGAACTCAGATCTAAGGAAACCTTCTCAAATTGCACAAACGTATGCAAAATTATGCAATTTGTGCTAATCATAATTCATGGAAATTGTGCTAGAGATATGCTGGTCTCAGCTTCAAATTTGCACAAGAAATTAAGCAATTTTACAGGAGTTGAACCATGTCCCCCCAGTTTGGCTCACTTTTGGCCATCAGGATACAAATGCATCAAACAATGATACAGTGTGATACAACCCTACAGGCAAATGTCAAAAATTAAGCTTCTCAGACTTGTGATGAGCTGTACAAATTCCAAAATATGGTATACCTTTCATATATTCTTGTTGCCCTAACCAGGATATCTGCCTAAACCATGATTGTGATAAAAACCAAATTGTTTGCCTGAAACAGCCCTTTGGTGAACTTTGCCCAGAATTCTTAGCAAATACTGTAATGCAAACTGGCTAACAGCTTTAGCCAGGGAAGGAAAGTTAACTGGCAAGACGGACAAGTTGTTATAGTTGCCAGGTGTTTGCTCAGTGAGACACTGGTGCCCAAGGTGGCAGGAGGACCAGATCGGCCCTTGGTATGCAGAAGGGAGAGATGCTGTAAATTATACCCAAGGGCAGGAGAATTCATACTTCCAAGGACAGGACAGGAGATTGAGGCAATAAGGGCAAATGGCCCTCACCTGGGATCCCTTCATACTCGTCACCCCATGAGCCATCTCATCTAGGCTGGGGGGAATAAAAGAGGAGACCCTGAAGGGGCTCGGGGTTCCTCTTTGAGGAGAGATTCCAATCTTGCTGCCGGACTCTTTGCCAAAGAATGCTGTGCTCCCCTGTGTCATTGGTATCTATGAGTGGTATAGTATCTGTGTATATAGCCAGGCTAGGCTGAGCTTTGTTATATTGTGCCCAAGGTGGCCAAAAAGGTCTGGGGTCCTGGGGCGCTTTGTTTGGCTGTGTATTAGTGCTGCTCTCCAAATCCCCTTTTCCACCCCGCTTGTGTATTCTTTGCCTTAGTGTTTTAGCTATTTTAGTCCCATCCTCCCCTATCTTTTAGCCTTTTAATAAACCCTTTCCTCCCCAGTGCTTGGGTTGTCATGTGATGAATCCAGTGACTGGTCTGGAGTTTGGGGACCAAAGAGGTTCTGGGCCCAGTTGGCTGTGGGAGTGGGGAATCCTGGGAGACTATCTGCTCCAAATACCATCAGATCTTGTGGCAGCTCTGTGTTCCTCAGCTTCCAGAGTTATAAGTGAAGGCACATCTGATTAAAATCAGTGGAGCCCTTAGTACATATGTTGAGGGGTTTTGTTTTTTGTCTTTTCTTTTTCCTCTCATTTTGAATAGCTGCTCAGAAATAACGCACCTTTTGTATCACCCCATCCAGTGACATAGCATTCTGCCCCGCCTGGTACCACTGCATTGACAGAAGGCAAACATGCTGGAATTACTTCGTTGGTGATCAGTACAGGGCTGAAATAAACAATTCCAAGAAGTTTGTCTGAGACAATACACATATTTTCCACTGGTGTTATAACATCTGGCTCATTACATGAAGCCTGTCTCCCTCCCTCCCTCCCTCCCTCATTCACACATATTTATGTGCACACGCACACACATGCACACACACACTTGGTATCTCTCCCTATTTTGTTTCTTCTCAGACTACATTTAGGACAGGTTTTTTTCTGGTGCTTGCAGTTTTATAGAATCATAGAATAGTAGATTTGGAAGGGGCCAGATGGTTCAGCTTCAAGTTGAACCATCCCTCTCACATGGCTGTCCAGTTACCTCTTGAATACCTCTAGTGTGGGAGAGCCTGCAACTTCCCTAGGTCATTGGTTCTATTGTCATACTGCTCTAAACAATCAGGAACCTTTTCTAAGCAGAATCTGGCTTCCATGTGCTACAAAGACTTGTGTTTCAACCTAGCAGTAGCATAACTCTTATCTGTAGGAGAGGATAAAGTTTTAAAGTTTAAAGTTTTCCCAACTTTCTCCCACTGTCCCCACTCATCCCCTTCTCATCTGGTCCCCCACTCTTTCATCACACCGATTTTAATGGAATTTGTGGTTAGGAAAAAGCAGGCATGCAAAAACAAGTGGAGGGAGAAGACAGTGAAAGTATCACAAAGAGCAGGATAAGGGGCCATTTAGCTGGACGGCTATATGAGAGGAAGCAAGAAAGGCATAAAAGCACATGGGAGGAAGAATCACTCACTACATGATAAGCTGAGGGCATGGACAGAGGAGATGCTGGCTGAAGTAGCTTTAGATTCAACCAAAGAAGAAGAGAGTTAGGAAATGGCCTTCATGAACCATCAATGTGCCATTAAGGCTCATATCTACCCACGCAGGGAGAGGAAAGCAATGGCAGTGGTGGCGGAACTCTGAACTCCACACGTCTCCTTGCCTCCATGTCTTTTTCCTCCACTCTTTCCTTCCTTCCTCTCTCTCTCTTGGCAGTGACTCTTCACTGCAGATGTTTGAAGGAGCCAAATTCTGAATTACCACCCCCTTTATTTTTAAGCCCCCTTTGTACACCATCAAAGGTGCACATGCAGCCAGCAGCATTAAAAAGGCAACAACAGCGGCAAAACAAAACTGAAACTGCCAGTTCCCCTGTAATGGCAGCAATGCACTAAGGCTTGTGCCATGCACTTGTGCTTCAAACCCAAAAGGCAGAGCACATGTGATCTTTCCAACTCTTTCTACATCTTCTGCAATTACACTTGTGTAACACACAGAACCACATTACAAACCCAGGGGCAACTGTGATGCATTTATTAGAATGCCATCTGAAAGAGGTGCACTTTGAAAAAAAATACCAGCATGGAGCTGGCTCAGACACCAAAGGGGCTCTAGAGGAGACCTTCCCTTGGTGCACTTTTTCATTGCACATGCTCCAGATATCAGTTTCTGGCCCATGATCCTTCAGGCTTCATTTTTTCCTAGTATTTTACAGTTCCTTCATGCACATACCATTTTGAAATGCAGAAGACAAGTAAAAGTGCTGACAGCTGGAAACAATAAAGTGATGTCCAAGTTCAGTGTTTTGTCCTGAATCCTGACTTGCACCTCACACAGCCTGATCTTAAGCATGTTTTCTTGGAATTAAGTCCTGTTTCCTAGAAATAGGTATAATACCAGGCTGTTACAATGAACCCAGACGTCATGTTCTTTGAGTAACAGGGCTGGTTTGTAAACAACCTCCTGTGTTTAGTATAAACATCCATTCCTTCTTCTGCTAGCACGAACTCTGAATTGCTGCAAGTTAGCTGTAAAACTCAGTAATGTAGAAAGCCTTTGAGTTTAACACCCCTCTCACGCTTTTCTCCGTAAAGCAAATTTGCAACCAAATTTGCAATTAAGTGGAGGATGATCAAAGGCCAAGTTTGCTCTAGCACTGTATCCTGGGACTTCAATGTCTAGCTCACTCCTGTGGAACACAACGCACCTCTCATGCTATTGTTCTGACTATAATTCTCTCTCAATAATATTTTGTTTTTCCATGAGCTACTTTTAGAACATTCCTTTTGAAGGATTGTTTCTCATTCCCATGAGCTGCCAAGTAATGGATGTGCCAATCTTGAAGAATTATAATTCCAACTGGCAGACATGGATTTCAAGAAGTAGCACCTGTTTTGCAATACAGGCAGTCCCCAAGTTACAAACCTGTGAGTTATGAAGTACCTGTACTTACGAAAAAACTGCCATAAAGCCTATTTTTCAACATTACTGCAGGAAAGCATCATAGAGAGAGAGGAAGTAAAAAGGTAGAGAGGGAGGCCCTAAAGTGTCACCATAAAGATAGAGGAAGCAAAGCAGGAGAGAGGGAGGTCTCCAAAACATGCCTTCCTGCCCTGTCCATCCAGAGAGGGAAATCTCTCCAGCATTTCCTTGTTGTCATGAGGAGGCACTGATCAGTTTGGGGAGAGGGAGCCTACAGATATTTGCAGTTCTTCCACTTTCATGGGGGTCCTGAGCCCCTAACTCCAGCAAATGTGGAGGGCTTATTATGCATGATCAGACTTAAAGATGAATTTCCGTTTTCTCAGGAATGGAGCTCATTCATATCCAGGGACTGCCCATATTTTCCCCCTTCCACACATCCTCCTCCTCCTCCTCCTCTGCTGTCTCTTTCCATGCATTTTGACAGCATGTGCAGACAGGAAATCAATGCTTTTCTTTTTGGAAGCTGCTTTTCACTGTGTAGCTATCGCATTGCAGAGCAATGAATAACCACAAGGTTTTCATTATGCAACTATTATTCCCATTCTACCCGCCACTCCATGCTTTAAAATAGCTTCAGCATATCTTACAGTAATCCTCACCCCAAAAAAACCCTGCTTACCAGTTCTGTGTTTTGTAAGGATTATTCCCGGGTATGTGCAATTTCCCATTTAAAATTAACTTGATTGTTTGCTTGATTGATACATGTATTTATAGGCCGCCTAAAACTGCTGAGGCCTTCCTAGGCAGCTAAATCATGGCACCATCCTGACAACAGGAGTAATTCCAACTGCCCTGCTGCTAAAAACATGTAGTTGGGAATAACCACCTTGTTGTCAAGAAAGAGAGAACATATTTAAAGGAGAAATTGTTTTTTTTAAGGATGCCGTGGCAAACAGCATCAGCCATCATGGGGCTCAGCAGGCCCAGGCACAGGCCCTGCTGCCATCACCTGCTGCTGCCTGTGCCCCACTGCCCCCCAGTACAAGGCCCTGGTCTACCATGAAGGCAACCCCAACAGGCCACGAATTTCAACCAGCCCGGCAGATGACCACTTCCAAAACAAGCATCGTGAGAACCTTTTCACCTCAAGAGCTTCTCCACATGAGCATTTCACCACAATGGAACAGAGCCAGGCCCAGTTTGGTGTATCCAAAGCTGCCATGTAACAGTAGCACAGAAGAATGATGACATGGCCAAGGCACTACCGAAAAGAAAAAGGATGGCTACCTGCTCAGTTTCAGCAGGGCAATATCTGCCCCGTTTGGTTCTTTGAATATTTTCTCAATATCTCGGTGTTGTGTGGATGGCTCTAAAGCTCTCTCTGTGTGTGACCCAACTGCCACTTTATAAGTTGAAGCCCTTGATGACCTGCAAAAGGAACATTTACTACATGAGAACATCTCCAGGTAACCAGGAACTCACATCTCTTTACCGCAACTTACCAGGGAGTATCATCCGGGGATTTGCTGTAGGTGAGGCATTGATCATGCCATGCCTGTCTCACTTATGGAATCTTATGGGGTTGTTTGCCATTCCTGATCCTCCCGACCCATGTTTTCCCATCATCCCTTCTGTCTTTTTTCTTACCACAGAAAATCCATTAGGAAGTGTGGGAAAATGGAACTGCTGCACAATGCATTCCAAGCTGCTCTCCATCCAGCTGCTACGAGCTCTCCATCCAGAAGCACCCAAGCAGTTTGTGCCCCACATTAACCCTCCATTCTGCACCTAAGTCCCCCCCACCCCACCCCGCTGTTATGTGCCTCACAGCATGTGGGTTGTAGACATCCTCAAAGAAAATGTGGGCATAGATGAGCAGCGGTGAAAGAGCTATGCTCAGAGATATGGGCACTGATGTTAAAAAGGTTTACCGTTGCAAGCAGTGAGTTGCTGTCAGAACCCATTGTGGACTTATTAATGTGCCTCCACAGAAGTGCGCATCTAGGATTCTGAAAAAGAGAGGAAAGAAGATTAGTTTAATGACATAACACAGAAGTATTTCTGCCTGGTGAACATGTACTCTCCATTCTATGGCAATCTTACTAACAAAAAATATGATAAAGAATGTTACTTTTGAAACAGTTTAAATGTTGGAGCATTTTTAGAGTCAACTTTTTCCTTTCCAAGCCACAAAAACTTAGGCTATAAAACTCTGTTGCCTGGGTTACAACAGACTAACACTGGGATCCCTTTGGAAATTGTAACTTTCCCCCTACTGCAAATACATACTATATCTAATACAGATTTTCCCTAGCAAGTGCCTTCTTGATTTGTTGGAGTGCAACTGTCATAACTGACCATGCAGTCTGGGAATGATAGAACTTGTAGTGCAGTGCATCTGGAGTTTGATGCAGTGTTGGGGAAGTTTGATCTATTACAATCCCCACAGGTGGACGTGTGTGCGTGTGCACGCATGCACACAGCACTGAAGGGATGCTCATGGAGTGTCCCATTCCATACCTTAATCGGAGACTGATCTGCCAGGGCCAAGAATGGGGATTTGAAACACACCCGCCAACAATCCTTCCATAACACAGGGCTGGTTTATACTTGGCTTTTCCACACTCATATTCAGGAGGAGCTGAAGAGTGAATGAGGGAGACACAGAAGCTTGAGATATGGTGGAATGTGTCAGGAAGGAAGATCAATATCGTATGAACAGGAGGAATGTAAATCTTTTAACTCTGAAAAACATTATTCTCTTTCACATTCTTTGTTGAGCAGCCCAACAAAGCACATTGTCATTTCTAGTACTGCCCGCCACTTACTTTGGTCTTGCCTACCTCTGATAAGCAACTCTTGGGAGTCTTTCCAAAGGGGATGATGCTCCCAACATTAAAAAAAAAAATGTTCTCCAATAAGCTTTTATATTCTTACTTACGGCACTGTGGGATGTCACAATATTCCCAGGCTGTTCTTGGGTCTTTGGTATAACACCAGGGACCATTATTATCACTATCAGGATTTCTGCAATACTATAAAAAACAAAAATAAAGGTAACATTAATAATAGAACTGAAGGACCACTGTCTTTCTAAGTGAGGCTTTTAGGGTGATAGTATTGTTTTCCAAATGCAGCCAAAGTAAAAATCTGTAACAGTTATAGAAGGACCAGCTGTCTGGTGCAGATGCCCTTCTGTGGGTGCCCTCCCTGAAGGAGATTAGGAGGGTTACAGTTAAGTGTGGCATGTGCATGAACATGGTTAACTCCAGTTCCCATAACCCTCTTTCTCAAACTCACTTCCATCTTTCTTTTTAGCATTTGCTACTTTTCTGATGACACTCATTTAGAATAATAAATGCAACATTATCAACATTTATCATAGATGGTGGAATATAAAATTGACAGGATACGGGGGAAAGAAAGGGTGAAATGATTGGGAAAAGAAAAGGATTTTGGGAGGGTGGAAAATGCTACTGCAGGGTTTGCAGAATCCTGCTTGAGCAGAGTCAAAACCCTTCTCTGATTTTGTTTCTTTGCATTCCTTCGCAAGCCGTACATGATTCCTGTGCACAATACTACTTACATTCCTTTCCAGGCCTGAACGTGGGTGAGTCAGCGGTGTGAAGGAATCATGCTTATGAGGTGTCTGCAAACGCCACTCTTGGCAACTCTTGCCACTCACTGTTACTGCAATCTTTCCACGGTAGTCCTTACCGTTACCAAACCGACAATCTTTAAAGAGAGAGCAAAGTTGGGCTAGGTCTTATGCACAGAATGGATCCACACTGCAGAGCTGATTCAATAGTCAATAGAGATTTTGCACATGTCCCCATCTAGGTAGAGATGGGAGAATTCTAGTGCCCCCAGCTGGTCTGGGGAGATTCTATAGGCTGGGATGCAAAATCTGTTTTCCTAAAAATAGGATGTTCCCAGTTGGGCCTTCCTATGTACATATGCTAAAATACCGATTGTTCCCAATGCTGAAAAACAGAAACAGTGTTAAAAAGAAGATATTAAATTCAAAGAGCGTCATATGATGCCACACGTAATTATAATTATCATTTTCCCATGGTTCTTCTTTTTCTGGAGAAGTTTCACAGCAAAGAGGTTTGCTTGCTTGTTTGTTTTAAAGCTATCTTTAAGGGTAGAATTATAGGCATAAATCAGGAAAAATGAGCTTGTGGTGATAATCACTATAAATACACCTCAATCATGTATTATTAGTTTATATTTATTTATATATATTAACATACATAAAAACCTATAAACTATATCAGTGCCATCAATATCTATAGTGCTTTTCAGAGTAACATAAGCGACAATAAGACAGATCTCTACCCACAAGGAGCTTACTGTTCCAATAATGCACGATGGAAGAAGAATCATGGAGAGAAAGATGTGGCAAGCGATAGGCATGAGCAAAAGACATTGCTGACATTTGTAAATAGCAAGTGAAGGTTTGCACTGGATTTGGTATGCAAAGAGAACCAAGGTGTGTCCAGACAAAGGCCTTCTTAGTGCAGATCAGTCCTAGATCAGGAGGTATTGTGTAACATAAGGACAAGTCCTGCTGCAAAAGAATCACCTTGGCTCCCAGAAGGGTAAATCCTGCTTCACTAACCTATTAAAGTTCTTTGAGAAGGTCAGTGAGCATGTGGACAGGGGCAATTCAGTAGACATTGTTGATTTGCCTTTTTAAAAGTTCCTCACCACTGGTTCCTGAGCAAACTTAGCAGGCATGGAATAAAGGGGGGAAAGTAGGGAGCTTCTATGGATCAGTAACTGGTTAAAGAACAGAAGGCAAAGAATGGGAATAAATGGTAAGGCAAAGAGTGGGAATCAATACAGCCAAGTGGAGGGATGTTACCACTGAGGTCCCACATGGCTCTGTACTAGGACCAATGCTTTTTAACCTATTTATAAATGATCTGGAATTAGGATTAAGCAGCAAAGTGGCCAAATTCGCTGATGACACCAAACTATTTAAAGTTAAAACTAACGGATTATAAAGAGTTCCAAAGGGATCTCTAGAGGGTGGGGAAATGGGCATCAAAATGGCAAGTGCTGTTCAATGTGAACAAGTGCAAAGTAGTGCAGGTAGAGCAAAGAACCCCAATTTAGCTCAATGAAAATGCCAACACGGTCTGCGGCTGCTGTAAAAAGGGCAAACTCCATGATAGGCATAGTTAGAAATGGCATTGAAAATAGAACTCCCTTATACAAATTCTTGATGTGCCCCTGCTTACCATAGCCCTTGCCTGAAAAGGGACACTATCAAGTTGGAAAAAGTGCAGATAAGGACAGTGAAAATGATCAAAGGGCTGAGGCAACTTCTGCATGAGTGGGTGCAATGGGGACTAGCTTAGAAAAATGGCAAGTAAAGGGAGACATGATAGAGGTTTAAAATCATCCCATGAGGCTTACGTGTGGGAGATTTAGGGCAGATAAAAGGAAGTACTTCTTTACAAATGCAGAAAACTATGGGATGGACTGCCATGAGAAGTGGGGATGGCCACCTATTTGTATGGTGTCAAATTCATGGAGAAGGAGGCTGTCAGTGGCAACTAGCCTTGCTGGCTGTGTGCTACCTCCTTCCCCAGAGGTCGCATGCATGCATTCCCCAGTTGCTGAAGAGCTTGGGCAGGCAGAGTTCTTGCACCCATCCTGCTTGAGTGCTCCTGCGGGCATCTGGTTTGCCACTATCTGCTAGATTGGATGGACCTTTGGTCTGATCCATCATGGCTTTTCTTATCAGCCATAATCAGTTCAGGTTGTAACAACCCAGATTCAGGCTGGACTTCAGGAAAAGCTTCCTCACTGTCAGAGCAATACAACAGTGGAACCAGCTGCCTAGAGAGGTGGTGGGCTCTCCTGCACTAGAGATATTCAACAAGAAACTGGACAGCCATCTCAGTGGGATGGTGTAACGTGGTGTCCTGCAACAGCAGGGGGTGGACCCGATGGCCCTTATGGGCCCTTCTCTTCCAATTCTACTATTCTATGATTCTATATTCTTGTGCTTTTAACCATTCCATCATTTTTTCTTTAATTGTTTTTCTTTGCTAAGAAAAGGAGTGTCTGAACGGAAGGCAAGAAAGAAGAATGGGTTCATTAGACACACACCATGTGTATAAAGAAAGTAGAAGAAATTAAATGAAACAGAAGGAAAGATCAGCAGCTGAACACAACTTACAAGTAAGACTACAACCTTAGAAAGCTTTAAAGTGCAAACTGCAATCCAATACATGACAATTCAAGAAAAAGCCCCACTGAATTGAGTGAGACTTACTCCCAGGCAAGTCTGCACAGGGCTGCAGCTAAAAGCTGCAATTGTACGTACATTTCCCCCTATCCCCCCAAGCCCTCTGGAAACTATCCGGATCCATCAGCCTCCATGGGTGGACCATCTTAATGGGTCCCCACCCTTGCAGAGGAGAAAAACTGCTATAAATCTAAATTGCAGCAGGTGGTGAGCTGACCATGACAAAGCATCTGAGTCAAAATCCTTCACACTCAGAGCACTATCCTCATCTCCAGCCAAGAAGACCTAGTCTAGTGTGTGCCCTGCCACATGGGCCAATGTAATGTTGGGAGAGTCCCATGCCTGTCATGGTGACCATGAAATCTGAGCAGCCACCAGGACCAACAGCCTGGGAGACTCCAACATCACATCTGAGACAACCCCCATCACTCAGGTAGGGCGACTGATGGTTTGCAGGGTGGACAGTACACACCAAAATCCCTAATCTATCCTGCTGGCCCAACACAAGGTGCAAACACTCCAGACTAGTTGTTGGACAGACAGGGCACCTGGAAAGAGATATAATTCCTATAGAACATGGAACAACCCCTTTCCCCCTCACTCCCTGGCCATCACATCTACCCTGATGCTGAACCAAGTCCCCAGATGGGCACACCTTGGGAGAGACTAACTCCTCTCTCTTTGCCCACCCAGATTTCAGTTATACATGCCAGATCGGGGGGAAGTTTCATTCTGCCCCAATCTGGCATTTAGAAGCAGCCTCTGGAGACCTGAGAAATACTTCCTAAAGAACAAGCCAAACCTGTTTGCATATTTTCTGATGCTGTAGGCTCCTGCTGCACTTGATCCGTGCACTTCTGCAGATTGCAGTACTCCCATCTCGTGCTGGAATCAGTTGTGAAGCACCAGGGTCCGTTATCATCTTTATCTGGGTTTCTGCAGTAATTTCTTCTTAGGTCCCTATACAAGAAAACACATAATACCATGTGATATAGTCCAGGAAATTCCCTGTTTTGAGGCTATTGGAAGGATTTTTTTTTTAACTTCAAGGATTTAAAAAATGTTTTTCAATCTGCTGAATCTAAGCAGTAAAACTTGGACCAACTCCTGATCAGCATGAACTCGCCCTTGCACCCACACTGCTTAACTTTAATGAAACTTTGAGGAAAAGCCAATGTTAACCCAAAGGTTTTATCCCAAAAATGTTTTTAGTTTAAAAATGAAAGAATGGCAACCAACTTAATTTTATTTGGGGTAACAATGAGAAATCAATACATAATATGTTGGAAATCAATACATAATATGTTCAAGGTAAAGCATTAAATAATGCATAGTTTTATATATAAATTAGTCTTCAGATCCAAGATGACTACCAAAATCACCACATTTAAACAAATATATACATCATTTTCTACTGAGAACAATCAGAAAAGGGTTAGAACTTCATCTTATAAGGATGTAAAGCTATGTATTAAGTCTTTATGACCTCAACTTTTAAAGTGTTTTTTAACATTTACTTTTATGGGTGGTATTTTTAACTATTTTAACTATTTCCATTGAAAATATAGTGGAGGCAAAATAAGAGGACTAGATGATGCATTTTCAGGATCATGTCTTGTGGCTATTTGTTTGTTTTCCCTAAATGGGAAAAGAGGAACAGGCTTGGATGTAATAGATGCACGTGTGAAAACTGTACTTTAAGGACTTTAAACTGCAGTATTCCACTGTTTCCCATCCAAACATTTATTTCACAAAGTAGGGCCGAATATTCCTGATTTTTTTCATGTTTAGCATGTTTTGGCATTTTTAGTTGCTTAAATTATGGTAGGTTGACACAAGAATTCTGCATAAGCATCAACCAGAGCTGGAAATAGAATGATTTCTCCTTCATGATCGTAGCCAGTGCATTCAGAGATTATGCTACTTTGAGAAGCTAGGGATTTTTCCTTTGTATTTTTTTTTTCTTAATCCTCCATGAAGAATATCATTTCACACCATGTCAATCAATGTTGTTCCAAATACATGAGGACCTTGACTGATGGACCACTTTGATTGCCAAAGACAAGGAGAAATCATACATTTCCCCCTTACCACTTCTGTTTCTAGCATCTTTTGCTTTATCAGGAACGCAAGCATCCCTAACCTCAGACACAGACAGCATGCCTTTAGCGAGAGTTGCCTGCAAAAGGAGAAGTTTTTGTAGCAACTCAACAATCCTTTAAGTCACCCTGTTTCCTAGCACCAGTAGCTTTGTTATATGTTCACTAGTGCCACACCATACATTTGTTATATTTGCCACTGAAATACTAATTTCAGAAGAAACTGAATGTGACAGCTGCAAGGACAAACAAACGCAGGACCTGTTCATTGACTTGACTGATTGAGCTGGGTATTGGGCTTGGTGACTTTATTAGTCCCTTCCACCTCTACTCTTCTGTGTTCCTGTGCTACTGTGAACATGATGACATAAGATCCCATGTGGTGTAGTGGTTAAGAGTGTGGTACTGGGACTCAGGAGATATGGGTTCTAGTCCCCACTCAACCATGGAGTTAACTGGGTGACTTTGGGCCAGTCACAGATTCTCAGTCCAACCTACTTCACAGGATGCAGTTGTGAGGGTAATATGAAGAGGAGGGGGAGAATTATGTAGGTTACTTTGAGTTCCTTGTAAAGAAAAACAGCAGAATATAACTATAATCAATAAAAAATAAAAGCCCCACTCAGGATTTTGGTATTGGCTGAGTGTGGGTTGTTGGTGAAATGTGAGTTGTTGATGAAACATGGGTTATCCCAGCTGCTTTAACAAGCCATGGCTCATTAACCACAAACAACACATGAGGAGAATCCATGCTTCATTGGGATCTGAATTTTTGGCCATTCACCTTGGCTTGTTTTGTTGCCTGGATTCAGACGACATAATAACCAAGTTTCAATAATAATTTATGGTTCAGTGACAGGCCGTATTCAACCCTTCCTTAACTCTTCGCTGTGGATTATCCTGTTGTCTGAACCCATGAATACAGAATTTTGTTCTTGTACTTTAGAATGATCAGCTCTAGCTGATATCCTTTGGCGATCAATCATGCCTCAAAAGAACATGAACATTACCAGTGAGCCTTCTCCAGCTGGGTCCCTCCCACACCCATGTTTTGGACTGCATCAGCCCCGGCCAGCATGGCCTATGGACTGAAATGCTAGGAGTTGAAGTCAGAAACATCTGGAGGGCACCAGGATGGGGAAGGCTGTTGTGGGCTACACATGAGGTTAGTGCTAGACGCGAGGTTGGATGTGTGGTTGCCACTGAACATCTCATTTGCCTGTTCCATCTTATTTTTTCCCTTTCCCAGGTAACATGCAGTAACAAAACACTTGATATGTTGCCATCAATACCACCTGTTTCACCACCAGTGTAAGAAACAACCATTGAAGAAAAATTTAAAGGTAGAACCTCAGCCAGAGAATGTTAAACCAGTTATTTAGTAGTCCCATCAAAAATGATTACACACTATTTATGATGAAGATTGAGGCGAACGTACGCTTCTGGGTAGGCAGATGGGGTTTTTGTGTGTGGATGAGGTTTCATAGACCACCATGCTTGGCACTTCTTTCCTGAGACAGTCAATGAAGCAGTACCCCGGTAATCTTCACCATTGCCCCGATAGCAGTCTTCAACAAATGTAGGTTGAGCAGGTTTAACAGGAAGAAGTGCAGCTATATCAGAACGAAACAAAAATACCAGAGGTGCATAAATAAGCAGACTTGTTACTGCCCCAGCACTGTAGAATTCTGAAGCTGTAATACTGCAAGTACTAAGAAATGTTTAGGAGTGTTTCCGGCAAAGTAAAAAGGCATGGGGCAGACATATCTTAAGAGCATCTGGAACTTGCTGAATCAATATGGATGGCTTTCTATACTAACTTATTATTTAGACTGGCAGTCCAGACCTAATTGTCTGCAGTCCATGTGCTTTATAGCAGAGCTTAAAGCAGCTTTCAAAGAATGTTTATTCAGGAGAAAGCTCCTCTTAATGCAGTGGGATTCCTCCTTTTTTAGTGGGACATATACAGCTAAAACAGCTGTTAAAACTCCTTTTCCCCAGAAGAAGAGGCTGGGATGCACTTTAGCACTTTCCTGAACAGCTAGAGTCTCAGGAAAGAATGCAAAATGTGTACCACTTTGAGCACTGTCAGGGCAAAAGTAGAAAAGGAAGGGAGAAAAAGATGAGGATCTTTTGATGAGGATGAGGTCTGCCAGCCACCCTTCTAACGTGCCGCGTAGGCACTCTGCAGGGGCTGTCAGTAGCTGCCAAAATAGGAGCTATGAAAACAAGATGCAAAACTAGCTTTTGCAAAATCTGAAAGGAAAAAGCAGGATGGGGAATAGCCATGATGATCCAAAAGCAGTGCTGAGCAGAGAGATATTTATGGCAATGACAGGATGCAGGTAGTTCTGCCATGATGGAGGATGAAGGATGGTGGGGAGGAGAAAAATAACTCATAGTGAGACAAATCATCTGCCAGGGGCATCAGAGATGGTTCACAGAAAAGCAGACCACTACGGCTTATTGCCAGGGTAGATTAGTGTGACATGGAATCTGCTCAATATGTGTCAAAACCACAATACATAACAAGTCCTCAGGAAGTCTCTGAAGTCCCACCTGTGGTCACTGACCTATGAGCTGCAAGTTTTATTGATGATGTTTGCTTTTGTAGTATTAGAATGCTTTCTATTATCCATATGTATATTTATATGTGGGTTTTACCCTGCACACCATCTTGTAAATATTTTACCTGTAACAGTGGACTAAAGATAATTTTGAATTTTAAATAAGTCAGTACTTAAACAGGTTAGCTTAATTCCATACCTGCTTAGCCCCACTTCTGAGAGAGCATAATCACATGTGACACATTCTTATTTATTTGGTTTTTGCAAGGGAAACTATGATCCCAAGGCAAACTGATTGATTTTGAAATTCAAAATAGCTTGTTCTGTCCACAGCTATCACAGATGCACAAATGCAACTTTTCTTACCAGTAGTAGCAGCTGTTACTACAGCACCGCAGCTAGGAATATTGCAGTATTCCCACCGTTTATTGGGATCGGTGGTGTAGCACCAAGGACTGGTCTCCCCATCAGGGTTTCTGCAATAATTTTCTTCTAAACCTCTGAAAAAGAATGTCCATACAAACAGCTGATGTTTGTTTTAAAGGGGATCAGAGTGCTGTAAATCTTATTGCAATGTTATATTCATCTTCAGGGTTGAGAAAATCAAATGAAACCTGATTTAAATCCCCCAGTTAAGATCCAAACACCAGTTTTTGAGCATTGTGTCGAAAGATGCCAAATAGATCATAGTTTCCTTAGGAGACAAAGGAGCACCAGAATCTCTTCTCAGCCAACCCAGAGTACAGGCCATGCAGTAATGGGTTCAAGAAAGCCAGATTCCAGCAGAACATCAAGAGAACTTGATGCTGAAGATGCAACAGGACAGCCACCTGTTAGGGATGGTTTAACTTGGAATCCTACGCTGAGCAGAGGGGTGGACCTCATGGCTTCCTTGGCCCTCCCAAATCTGCTATTATATGATTTTATGAAGGTAAGGTCAGAATCTGCAAAAACCCTAGGCCTGTATTAAAGGGAGGCCAGGAAACATGTAAAATGCACTGCAGCCCAATAGCTCCCTTGAATGATAAGATATCAGAATGAAAGCTAAAATGCTTCTAAGCTGCATTTAGTACTCCAGCCTGTTCATATGAAGCCTGTTAACTAAATTCCTTCCCTTGTATTTTCAGTGGGGGAAGATGCACAGTAGATTGCAATATGATAGCAAAAGCAAAGCCTTTCACATGTTAGGCAAAGCTACAAGGCCTAAGCGACAATGGATTCAACATACTTGCAAGGGTAGGCTTCTGGGGTTCTTCCATGTTGGTGAGGTGTCTGGGCTGCCCAGGACTGGCATTTTGCTCCTGAAGCAGTGACATCGACATTCCCTCGATAGTCTTCTCCCCTTCCCGTAAGACACTGGCGCCCTGTGATGGGGACTGGTGAAGGCGAAGCTGTATCCAAAAACATGTGCATGAAACTGGTATTCTCAGAATGCCTAAGGGGAATCAACTCAACTAAAAATGAACCCAAGTGGAACATTAATTCCTGTCCATAGATGCAAGGTTTATGAGATAAAAAGACATCCCTGAGCCTTCTCAATTTTCCAATACTGAATTATTTCTTCAAAAGAAACAAAATGTATTATGATATCATTGCAGGTAGCTTACAACTGATAATGCAAATAAAACTTACTACACCGTGGAATGTTGCAATATTCCCAGCGTTTAGTTGGGCTGGTGGTGAAACACCAAGGACGGGGCTCGCCATCAGGATTACGACAGTAATTTGACTGGAGATTCTTTTCTGGAAAACTGAATGACAGATGAGAAAAGTGAAAATTTCCCAATTACCTTCTGAGGATTGTTCATAATGATCAGTACATTTATATCCTGCCTTTCCCATCTGGCTATGAACCCAAGGCAGTTTACCTAGTGCTCTTTTCCATTTTATTCTTGTAGCAGCCCTAGGTTAGGCCAGAAGTTCGAAACTGTCCTGAAATCACTTAGTGAGCTTCATAGCATGAGGGAGAACTGCAATTCAGCTCTTCCCCAGTCCACCCCTCAATTCCCACACTGGCATGGGTTACATCTTTTCAAATAAATAGAGAGCTATCTTATGCCATACTTTCCCAGCCTGGTGACTTCCAGAAGGATTGTGTTGTGATTCCCTCAGTTCCCAGCCAGCATGATCATTCACCAGACTGCTTGGGAATACTGGGAGTTGCAGTCCAACACTTCCAGAGGGACCCAGGTTGGGGAAAGGTATTAATCACAGCTGGATATTTGCCCCTCTAGCCCAGTACTGACAGACCTAACTGATAGAGGTTCACCAGGGTCATCAGCAGAGATGTTTTACCTCACCTGCATCCCGAATCCCAGGAGTTTCCACATGCAAAGCCTGTGCTGAACTAAAAACCTAAGTGCCAAGGCTTTAGGATATATAGTTATCTGTGGTTTTCATACACCTCCCACAGAGGCTTATGCCCAAGAGTCTTGCACAGCTTCTGTTCCTCTCAGTGAGGCCTGTGCAGAGTTCCCACTGAAAATCTAGAAGACTCTTAATGCTCTTAAGACCCGAAGACTCTTAATGCTCCATGAACTGAACTGGAGGACATGATTTGTGACTTACTTTGAAGGAACGTATCCATGAGAGTGAGGTTCTTGAGAATTCCAAGCCTGACACTGAAGCCCAGATTCTGTTTGGGAAATTGTGCCTTGATAGTTTTCCCCACTGCAGTGCATGCATTGAACTGTAAATGGAGATAACTTTGAGTCGTCCAGATTTGTCTCAGTTGGCATTTTAATTTCTTTACTTTCTTTCAGGTACTAGGTATACTGGATCTTAAATCCTGTACTCCCCTCATTGTCCATAGCATGAAACAGCCCCCAAACTCCCAGCGTTATAGGATAGGGATGCTTGGGAAATTATTGCTCAGGTTATATCAGGACTACTCCCTTGAATATGTCTGAGCCAAGCTAATCTGGTCATACTGCCTTCTAGATTTTTTGTTCTTTATGCTATGAACCCAGGGTCCTATGTATAGCTTACATATAAATGTTTATATGTACATATAAAATGTTTTATATTACATATAAAATGTTTATATTACATATAAAAATGTTTATATGGACACATACACAATGTCCTGGGGTGATGGAATTATTGTCATGTCTCAACTGCTATGGGGAGGCTGTAATATGTGCAAGTTATATGTGTGACCAACATTTTGAATATGCAGCTCCACGTGAGATTTGTCCCATTAGGCCAAACCAGGGAGTGTAGGTTATGTGAGTGTTAAATAGCCCTTGAATAACCCATGGTCTATTTTCAGGTTATATGGGGGTGTTTTAGAGCTATACCAGGTTGTGTAGGCAAGCTGGTGCTAGCTGCAAGCACCATGGCTCATTATATGGCATCATTAAATAACCCACAGTCAACCGTCATGTCATGTGCACAGCCCCATTCCCTCCTTTTCCCTCCTGGAAAAATAGTCTTTCCAATGCATTACTGGAAGCTTCCTTTGAAATGCAAATAACTACTTAGGGAAGGGTTTTTTTTCCTGCCACAGAAATGTGGCAGGGAGAAAAGATTTAAATGAATCCCCTCCATGCCATGATGGTGCACAGGCTTCTCCATAGCTGCCAATCTCCCCCCTCCCCGCACAACAACCCATTTTTCTAGTGGGACCCTTACTTGGGAACGTATCAATCAATACAAGTGCAGTGAAAAACACCCAAGGATGTTTAACCTCATATTAGTAGTCAGATTTGCACTGAAGAATAATGCTTCTTTTTTAAAAGGTACCATGGCAACATTTGCTATCATAGTTTTGAAAAAAAAAACCATAATGGGGGTGGGGGAAACAGATTCCTTCAGCATTTAAAGAGAATAATACCGGAATATACCACATCAAAAAATGGAATTCAGGTTTGAACAATCCCACCTTCACATTCCGGGATGTTGCAATAATCAAATCTGGTTTCAGGATCCGTTGTGTAGCACCAGGGGCCTTCCTCATCGTTATCCGGATTCCTACAGAAATTTTTTTCTAACGATGCATTAGGGTGAGTTCTCGGTGAATAGCTACGAAAAAAAAAAGAGAAAGAGTGCTGTTATGGAGATCACAAACTTTCCCCAGGGCCCTATTGAAACTATCTGAACATGTTTCAGTCACAGCACAGCAAATTCTTCTGTGGTTTAATGGAATCAAGAGCAAACTAGAATGCAAGTTAGAAATGCAGCAGCATGGGGAACTTGTGCTTATTGCTGAATGGGAGGAGCGGTGGCACGTACATCCACTCTGCTCACAGCTGCCTGGTAGGCGTCCCCTGCATGATGATCTGCCCATCTAGCAAAAGTCAGGTTCTAAAACTGCCTTCTCATGCACATTTTGCAGAGGAACGTTCTGGGGCACTGAGCAGAATCTACTACAGAGCAAGCCCATGGAGGGCTGGGCTTCTGCCACCTGAATCCCTGGCGTGTTTACTCTTCTGTCACTCCCACAGAATTCAGTGGGCTGCAGACTCCCAAGGAAGCATGCAGAGAATTGCAGCCTTGGTCAGAATTCGCCTCTGCTGAATTGTGTCCCGCGCGATTCCACACAAAAGCCAGTCAGGCAGCTGCAGACCTGAGGGCTGCCTAAAGCGGGAAGCAGCTCTCACTCAAACGGGGAAAGCTCATACTTGGGTACATGAGGACTGTTGCTTGCCCAGCGCTGGCAAGTTACACCTCTCCGAGTGGTAGATATGGTTCCTCTGTAGTCATAACCATTTCCTCGTCTGCAATTAAGTAGAAAAACTGAAAAAGAATATAGGCATGTGTTACTATGTAGCATCATGCATTCACACCAGAAATGAACTAATTTATACATTTACCCCAAGCCCTGGTTGTGCCATGCTGTTTGGGCAGAAGGGGCCTTCTGGATGGCGCAGGGTTCCGTGCATAAGGAATCATAAATCTAGCAGCCCCATTAAATGAGGAGGCACTCTGTGCATGCAAGGGAGATCTGGTGTGCATCACAGTTTCCTTTGATACGGTTTCCTTTATTTTTAGTGGTTGAGTTGTGTTGAGCTGGTGTGGTATTTGCACAGATGATGGCAAAAGGTTAAGATACATATCAAGTTGTAGACATGGTTTCTATTTATGTGCAAAAATTTTGTTTCACACAGAACCAGTGAAAATGCCCCAATCCAGATTGAGGTGGATGTAACTATTTGCTTCCCACTCTGTTCTTGACTGGATTGGAGCCCCACATCTACAACTTGAGGGTGCAGGGGAAGCTCCCATTGTCTTTAAGATCTTTTTTTTCCAGGCACACTGCAGGTGTGGAAAAGCCCTATCTAGATCAGAACTGCTACATGAAGCAAAGGATTAAAGCCTTCCTAAATCCACATCAGCATCCCAGAATAGATGAATCAGAGGCCCCAGCACGGGCTATTTGTGAAACAAATGTATCCTAAGGCATGCTTGACCATTGGACCACTGGAGAGCTAGTCCAACCTCCAGTAGATCCAGTGAAATGAGTGAGACAGAAGTTACAACTAATTTAAGACCCATTCATTTCAACAGGTCTACTCTACGTGGTACTTACATTGGATACTACCCAAAAACCTATTAGGATTTCAGCCTTGCTTTAGCTACCTAGTACAATCCTGAAACCAGAAGAGAACCCATGTGGCAAAAAGGTGGCAGGCCGTGGGTGGGATTTGCAGGGGGAAATCAAAAGTGTGAGCAAAATTAATCCCACACACTTTCACTCAGATGAAATATCCGTGTAAGTGTCCTGCGCCCTATATTTCCATAAACTCAGCTAAGATGAGGTTGAGAACACTCAGCTGTTGAAATCTAGTCAAAAGTCCCTGCTCTCTGTCCCATCATTATGGCAGTTCAGGACAGCAATGCCTTAATAGCCATGGTCCCAAAACTCAAATACTCCTCATTGAAGAGATTTAAAAATTTATCTCTTTGTTAGGAGTTTGGAAATGCTGGAGCTTTCTCTTTCTTTTAGCTTGTAGTTTGTTAATTGGGGCCTTTTTGTGGTTATTCTATGATTTGTAGTTTCTATATATATATATATATTATATGAATGCTAAATACTATTCTGGCACAGAATTGCTGCACCAAGGTTTGTGCCTCTTATCCCCTAGGGCTGGGAGCTGTTTTTCCTCGTATTTGTTTCAAACTTCCAAAACAACATTCTCTTTGAGAAATAGCTCTTTATTGGCAATTCATAACTAGCAAGCTACAGTCACTGAATTACAAGTCTGTAAGCATAAACAGAGTGATTGGCTGAATCAGAACTGGAACCTGCTTCCAAAAACCCTCTTTTCCAGTAGTGCTTGCTCTGGGCGGGTCTCTCTGGGAGGGCTAGCCTCCTAGATCTACTCAAGCCCTCTAACGAGGTAGTGCTTCTGCCCTGATCCATGTCATGAGGTCAGAGACCAGACTGGGCAAGGCCATAGAATCATAGAACCTTAAAATAGTAGAGTTGGAAGGGGCAACAGCGCCATCACCTCCAACCCCCTGCTTGGTGCAGGACTCCAGGTTAAACCAGTCTTGAGATAACCACAGCCTCTCCCTAACCTTAACCTCAGCCTTGGAAAGTGTGCCAAGAATAACTGCCTAGTCCATGCCTGACATCTGCCATGACAAATAACATGTTTGACTAAATTGCCTTGGAGACATAGGAAGTATCCTATTCGACCATGCATTCATGGAACACACCACTCACATAACGAGGCTCTGATATGTCCAAAAGTAAATGGAAATGAGTGAAAACACTCATTTCTGGAATGGGACAGATCTGCAGAACTTCCAGAAGAGAAATGTGCTGGCTGCCTCATTCCAGAAGCAAGCATTTCAGCTGCAAGTGGAACAATTCTGCAGGATATTGCCCCCTTTCTCCTGAGGTCAATGCTCCTTTCCCAAAATCCTTTCCCAAATATTTCTGATTGCCTTATCTAACCACCATGCTGGACTTCATGAATATTTTGCTTTGCCTAAGGAGCTATAGATAAATATTCAGATCTATACACTTACTTCTTTTTTCAAAGAGAATAGCATCTGCTTTTCTGAACAGGTGTGCTGTTTTGCTGTTGTCAGGTAGAGTAGTGCATGTTTCCACTTTGACAGCAAATATAAAAGATCTGTTGAAACGGCAATAGGTGAGAACGCATTCATTTTGTCTAAATGTATTTTTATATCTATTTTATTTATAAATGAATTCACATGGTGCCTTTTGGGACACAGTCCCACAAGGCGACTTACAATGTAATAATATCTATATAAATAGATTAAACAGAAGAAGGATTTAAACATTATATCATATGCCAGATGACCTATAATGTAAGTTAAATTGAATGATAATTAAGATTGACCTGGCTAATGGATCCACTCTAAGTAGGACTAACACTGGCTAAAACTTAATGTTTAAAAAACTTCTGAGACCGTGACTGAACATTTAGAGTATGTGGGCATGCTTCATGCTTGTTGCCTTGACAGTTACCTGCAAATAAATTCTGTTTCACCATCACATTTCTCAGCACATTCTTCTTTACTGAGTGTTCTGTATTGGTTCTTTTGAAGACTATCTATCCAAGCTCCATTTGTCTGTACATACTTATCCAGTATATTTCCTTGAACTAAACGAAAGTGAGAAAATGAGTTTAAGAAGTAAAAACATGGTAGCTAGCAAATGCATATGTTTCTCTGTAGCCCCAGCTAATTAGATTCCTTTTAGGGTCTACATATCTTAGCATATATGATGGTGGAATGTATTATGCACTGTAATTGTAATTGATCTGTCCTACATACACCAAAGAGCTTACACAGAAGACCAGACACGTTATGCTGAAGTAAAATCTTTGACTGTGTAAACTATTTTTATCTCTGGAATGAAAAACTGGTACAGCTACAAAGACTCTGTGCAATAGAAACACTTTATGCATGTGAATGTCCAAAGGTGTACAAGTTATATCTGAGAATATCATAGCTTATTATAATATCATACTGCAAATTATATTTTATTTTGACTCAGAAGTGACCTCTGATAGCCTGAGGCTGGAAAGTGTTCACTTCCTGGAATGTGAATAGGGACCAACTCAAGCCTGGCAGTCTCCCACACTCCATTCTAGTCTTCCAAAGCTTGGGATGGAAGAACTCGGAAGATGGCCTGCTTTCACAAAAGATCTTTGGAGACCTTCTTCCCAGCGTGCCCACCAGCTGCCTGGCACTACTTCAGCTTGTGCTCAGTTTTGATTTCAAGACCAGGTTAAATCCTAGTTATGTCCACAGGACCTTTCCTTCTGAAATGGCATTCTTATGCCTTATGGGATTTTAATCTCTTGACATTTTAGAGACAGCATTTTACTGATACTTGCAAGGCACCCCAAGAAAGCATCTTTTGAAAGGTGGGATATAAAAAAAGCTGGGCAAGGAATACTCTTTCTCTATGGAGCATCTTGGAGGTAGAAGCATGCAGGGCGGGAAGGGGGGTGTCCCAGCCCTGTCCCCACTGGGCTGTTCAGCCATGTAGACAAAGCATTTTAGCAGGAGAAGATGGACACAGAGACCCAGACATGTGAGAGAGCAGCATTTCAGATTTGTTTTTTTTAAGTCTCAATAGTCTGTCCTCTTTTTACAGATGCTTAAGTCTATCTTAAAAATCAAACTGATTATAGTTACAGAAATTCAAAATGAACAAATCTGCATCATCTTATTTAAGTTATAGGTCTTGAAAGAAACTATCACAGTGTAAGCCACTGGATTTTTCTAAGGGTAATATGTAATTTATCCAGTAGAAAGCTACAGACATTCAAGTCCCTTTTCCATGAGAGGTACCTTTAGCTTTATATTTAAAACCACAGTGATCTCACATACTTCTTTGTAGAGAAGAGGTGCAAACAATAAAATCTTATTGATATGAATCCTTATATCATTAAAAAACATAAATAGGACATACATATACACAAGAGGGCTATCCCTTATCTGTGTGCATAAAATGCACATGAACAAACAAGGAATTGGTGAATAAAATCTCCTGCAATATCAATCATACAATGGCAGACTATAGGCCTAAATCAAAACTGTCTATCTGGAAATTTGTAGTTGTTGTTCCATTACTTCCTTGAAGGGGCTCAGGATAAACATGGGAATTTTTTAGTGGTCTTCCATCAAGGAATCGACCAGACTCGAAGGTGCTTAAGTTCAGCAAAGTTCTTGCATCATGTGACTTCAAATTATACCCAAGACACCCTTATCAGTTTTTAGTGATATTGGTCTTCAGGATCTAAACTGATAATGATGTGCTTGGAATATAGGGATTGAAATCTAGTTTTACAGCAAGGGGAAAAGGCAACCAATGTCAACTCTGCATGTATAAAATCTCTAGTAATACCCTGTGTGGCCAAAAAAAAAAAAAATATCCACACCAACTGTTGGTGAGCTCAGGATTAGTCTTTGGAAGTGGCCACCAGTCTCTTAACAGAGTGTGGGAAGAAACACCTTGTGGTTGTCAAGATGATGGCTATTGAGTTGCTGTCATGGCACCATCTGGACCTCACCTATGCTAATTAGAAAATAAATAATGTGATTTTGCTTTGTTGTCCTTTTGTGGAAGCAAAAAAACTTTTCTGAAATTATTACAGTATGAAACAAAGGTAACTTGCTAGCCTTTCTAGTTTCGACTATAATGTCAGCATAACGCTAATCTGAGAATGATCAGACGGAACATGAAGTGGTCCTATGGCAAAAGCTAACTCTACCTGACTTTGTGAGCTGCTTTTAGAAGCTCAAGTAGCTGCCTTGAGATGTTTGGAGAAAGATAATGGGGATATGATATAATAGAATAGAATAGACACAAGAACCAAATAAAAATGCAGCATGGCACAATAAATATTTCCCAGGAGAACCAAATGCGTATTCACACCCAGATCACTGACCATTAGTAAATAGGTCACAATTTACAAACTCAAGTTTAGCAAATCTCAGTTTTAAAAAAATCAACAAATTCCTGGTTTGCATTAAATGTGGTCACACAATTCCTTAGCCAATCATTTTAGCACAATAATTTTTGAGATTGTACAGCATTTAACAAATCACATATCATCATGGTATAAGCTTTTATCAATCAAGTCCTATTTATTCCAATCTTTAACATGTAAGAATGTTATTCTTCAAGTACCTACTTGAGCTCAGCTTTTTTCAGCTGTAGAGGATAAATCCAATGCAATGTTGCTTTAAAGATAGCAAACCATTTCTGAAAACTTTTAAGACAATCTTTGTTTCTTTAAAAAAGAAATCATGTACGAGCATGCTTACCTGTATAAAGAAATAAAAGTAACACAAAGATATCTTTGCAAGACCTCATTCTGGGATGGACGGCTTGTGTGTTGAACATTCTGAGTCCCAGTGGACAAAGTTTTATTGACTCAGTTTAGAGTTAGACAAGCAGGAAACGAACAAGAGTTTAACCAAATTGAGTTAAACATTCTCTCAGTAAGTTGAACCTCTCTTCTGTAGTCTAAATGTTCAAACATTACCTTGAATCAAAGATCTTACAAAAGAGCATGCAAATGTTTCTCCACACGTTGGGGGAACGTGGAACACTTTCCCCAATATAAGAAGAATAATTTTGCTCTGGAATTCTTCTTTTTCTTTAGTTAATCAAAGCATTATGGAATGTTTCCAGGTTACGAAAGACCAACCAACCATCACGGATCTGTGAATTAAATGACTAAAGGAACAGTTCACTTAAATCCTAGTCTCACAGCCATTTCAAAATATGGCAGCCATGGGAAAAAGCTAACTCCAGATGACTTCCAGAGGCTTTAGGCTAAGTAACCTGGGTCCCTTGATTTCACGATTACATGCTGAATTTAGCTTTTGGAAACCTTTAGTATAGTAGAAGATATAAACACCTCACCACAGGCTATGAAATTTAGCTCCAATTTTATCATAGAGCTCATGCACAGCCAGCAACGAGTCCCAACTACACCCCAACCTCTGCTTATGTGAATGCATGGCATGAATCAGGCAGTCCTCAATATTTGCAAAATATGTGTGGCTGTTGATACCAAAGAGGTACAAATGATATGAACTTAACTTCTAATAGGGTCCAAAGCTCAATGTTTCAAAACGTGGTACATATCTTTAAGCAGTTTGTTTATGTATCACTTTCAGTCATGCTGCCAAAGATCTGTGGCATCTTGTGGATGCTTCCACAATTGTTCTTGAAATCAAAGATACATTCTCATGTCAGCTTCCGATCTATACAGGCTTTGGAGTCTTTTCAATAGTCAAGTAATGGGTTTCCACATTCCACAGTAATGTTGCACAGATCCTAACATTAAATGGATAGATTGCATAGACAACAGTTGTAACATTAAAATTATAAGAGAATAATAGGTTGTTAATCTTGATGCTTGTCTCATGTGTCATACTGCTTCTTTTCAGCTAATGCTTTGGTTCATACAACATGGTTACTCATTGTGGATAACCTAACCAATAGGTTGTTGTGATATCAGAATCCAGACCACTATCTCAAGATTGTCAAAAGGCAATCCAAAGAGCCCATCGCTTGTTATAAGGGTTATTCATAACATGATGGGTCTTTCTGTTGTCTGAACCCAAGAGTTTATTTATTTATTAAAACATTTCTGTGCTGCCCCTTGCCGAAGCCTCGGGGTGGCTCACAACACAAAATAAAATACAATAAAATACAAAAATAACAATATAAAATTAACAATATAAAATAAATTACAATATAAAAGTGCAATTTCATCATGGATTGTGGACATTGGCTATGGCATTGACCAGAAAGTACAACAAAAACCCTACCACTCTCTACAATCTCGCCAGTGCTAACACTAGTGACTACCCTTCTATTGACGCTGAAGTAGCATTTCAGGGTGTCCATCACTGTTAGCTACCCCTTAAATGAAATATTACACAAAAATGTTCTGGAAAATTGCAAAAGATGTTTGTATTTTAATATTAAAATGGACTTTTTTGGCTATCTGCTATGTGCAATCTTGCCTGCCCTTCATTTGCTCCAAAAAGGAGAGATATTAGCTCTGCTGGAGTTCCATGTTGTAGCAGTTACTGCAGGAGGGCAAGACTCCCTGCTTTTTACTTCCTGGTCATTAAATTTGTATATATCTCTGCATTTCTTGCAGCTGTAAGTGCTGTGAAAAAGAAATGCAGAAGGGTTGGGAGAAATGACATCTATCTCTTTTGGAGTAGCTGAAAAACTTGTCTGTTACCTCTTCCATTTAGCTACTTTTTTTGACAGCTAGAACAGACAAGGAAAATTATTAGGCCCAAGTACATATATCAGACAGCTGCAGGGATGCACTTACAGTCTTGTGAAAGACCAGCACAATTGTGCAATTTTAAAGAACAATTTATTTCTAAAAAACAAAGAAATAAAATAATTTCAATTACACTTTTTGAGGCTCCATTTTAATGTTATTTTTTAATGGCAGTGAACACCAAGGGGTAATGATCAGAGCAGAGAGGGGGTAATAAGTCTGAAAGGACATCAGGATAGATGCTGGAATGAGGGGGAAGAAAGGAGAAAACAACCCACAGTAAGCCCAATCATGGGTTGTTCAGTGAACAACCAGCCCATCTGGCTTATTTTCAAGGGTGCTGTAGTGTGGCATGTGAGCACAACCATTGCGAGCATAACCATAATTGAAGGATGCTTTCATTCGTAAGCTAGGGGCGTTTTTCTATTTTCTTTTTGGCTTGTTGTATATCCTGTCTGCATCTCACCCCCTCCCTTTTCTGGAACAATGTTGATCTAGTCATGTTTACCTTATTCTCAGAGGCTTGCCTAAAAGATGTTTATCTGAGATAAATCAGGAGTACTTCAGTTAGCACAATGGTTAAAATATAATTAGCTGCAGAGTACTTTTTCTGTTTGTAGTTTAGTGCTGAGGTTTGTTTACTGTAAGATGAAAATACTGAAGGGACCATAATAAGCTACTAAATGGGAGCTCCAGCTGTCCAAGGCTTTTATGGACATCACGTCATTAATCTCTGATATCCCTAAAAGCCAAGAAGACGACAAAAAATCATGTCCAAAGTCCATGTATTTGGAGGGGATTGTCCATAGAATTAAAAAAGCAGAAAGGGTACAAAGAAATGGGCCCAGACTTGGAAAGGTCCAATGAGCAGAGAGGCAGGCCATATGCAAATATAATTGCAAAAGGGTTTGGACAGAGTTGAATGAGTCCAGGGGTTCTTTTAGAAATTCAAAGTTTAGTTTTTGAATTGCATCAATGTTTGGTAAGAAGAGCAATAAGCAAGCTGTAGGATGGCTGAAAAAAGAGGAAGCACATCACCTAAAACAGGACACAAATATGCAGAAAATTTGCTTTGTTTGATGTAAATGTATATTCGCACATTAAAAACAATGACTATAATTTGAAGAGAAAGACAGTGCATCTCAGTGGGGAAGACTGTAACCAGGTGACCCATGTGCCTGGTTAGGCTGGCATCCTGATACGAATGTTCATAAGCAGTTTCAAGGCCCCTCACTTCTTTCTCTTCTTTTGTTTCGTTAAACCCGGGCAGCCCCTCAAATACAGGACACCCTTCCTTTTGACAGTCCTTCAAATGGAGGACTATTCTCTGTAATGTAGGGCACATGGGCACCCTAACTTAATTCTGGTAACTACACACTTGAGTAAAACTCCATTGAACCCCAGAGAATTTCTTCTGAATATACATGTAAGCAGTAATAATCATAGGGTGCATTTTTGTTTTTAATATATTTAGGCTGTCGAGCAAAAGCTGGTTTAAAATGTTAAGTCTAAAATACATTTAAGAGAAACCCTGCAGTGTGTAAAGTAAAAATGGGCATCCACTTATTTACGTGAAGAACTGTCCACCGAAGATCCAGAACATTTCAACTGAAAGGGCTGCTTGTGACTTAAACTCTCCTCACACTTATGAATTTCCTGAGACTTCTCTGATCTGCAGCTGAATTCTGGGTGGGGGCATAGGAGATCTCAAAATGGAAGTCCTCAGTTTTGGACAAATGGTGCTGAAACTGTCCGTGCTCCATTTCCCAAACTTCTGCCTAGAAACCCTTTGGTTTCTAGTTCCTTTTTTGGACCTTGTGTGCTCTGACAAATTCCTTAGCTTTGAGAAATTACCTCTTTGCTTGCTCCTAGCTCCGGTTTTGGAGCACTGTATGAAACATTCTGTCAGCACCAAAGAGTAGGTGAAGCTACAGGACAATTTTCCCCACACAACCCAAGCTGACATGATCCATCCATGTGCCTACGTCTTTCAGAAGCCTGTGGCTCTTTCCTTTCCAGAGCCCTCCTGTGTTCTGGCTGTGTAGGCACTGGAGCCAGGCAGCCTGGTGTGTGACTCCTCAGGAGTTAGTACCCTCTCTCTCTCTCTCTCTCTCACACACACACACACACACACACACCAACAAGGAACCATGTTGTGGCAGTATCAAAGTCACAAATGAACTACTTGGAGATCAAGGCCTGAGTGAACTGCAAGTTGAGCAGGGGGCATGGCAGGGGTAAGACATGGACTATTTCCATGACCCTGCTAAATAGAGTCTATGAAGCCATAGGATAACTTGGAGTCCTCATTTCAACTGAAATGCACCCTGAGGTCAGAGCTGAGATTCTGAACTTAGGGAAGCTCCCTCCGGACTTGCAGCTGGCATGGGAAGAAGCTTGCTGGCTGCAGCGCTGAGGTTGTGAGAAGTGGGTGGTGGAAGAGACCGGGCCTGCCAGCATCCTCAGTAACCTGGCAGTGCCTCAGCTTCCTCTCCTCACACTTCAAAGCCAAATGCTCAGATGGCTGCAATTGGCCAAATGTTTTGCATGGTGGATACACAGAGGCAGCCCTCATTCCTACACTTTTCCCACCATGCATAGGATGTCCATAAACCTCCAAGCTCAAATGGTTATGGACAGCTTCACTAGATCGCGCTCTACATTAATTACTTTAAAACGTCATTTATAAGACTCATAAAAGTCAGTAGAGTGTGATGGAAAGTGTTGGACTGTTGTCCTTCTGCTGGCAGGCAAAGACATGTCTATTCAGGCTGAAGAGGGATTTAATTAGTTGGTGACCATTTATTTTTGGAATTGCTGCATGCTGAAATGCATTTTAATGTATTTGTAGATATGTTTTAATGTGGATTTTTTATTAACAGCCTTAAAGATTGGGGGCAGGGGGAGAGGATAGGCATTTAATAAATAAATGATGAGGGATGGCTGCATACAAATTAGCACTTAGTCGCAATGCTTTCTGGGTGACTTGGTCCACTTTAGCCTTAGGTAATAGGTAAATACAACTTTCAGCATAGTCAGCCTGAGAGTCAGCTTGAAGTTGTGTGTGCAGCAGGGGATATCATATATGTTCCCCTGAGCACCATGAAAAAAGTATGGC